TTCTAGTGTCAAACTCTGCACAGACAGCATTCACACAGCACACTGTAGGAACAAGAAGAAACACTGACTGACTGAAACTGACATTTCCAGGCAGGTTTACTCACAGAGCTACTGACCTAAAGTGACTTCATATTCCTTTTTGATGGCAGAAAGAAGGGGTTTGTAGGTTTTGAACTCTTTGATGAAACAACCAAAGACATCACGGTAGACCTGTGGCAAAAGCAGATTAAGATATGTGAGTGCTCTCTCCGACAAGAAGACCTCTGTCAGGAATTTCTTCAAGTTTTAGAACTAAAACACATCACCTGTAGCTTCAGTTCCTGAATATTTGGCTCATCGGAGCTGATATTGTGCAGCTCCTTGTTCACATAGCTCTCCAGGTGCATCAGGAGTTGGGGCTTCCTCCCCGGGCCTGCATAAATGTAACTGCTACCTTTCCAGCACAGCTATTGGGTTTATCTCACACACACACACACACGGTGAACTTGCTGTTAAACTATTTTGTGACTAATCATATTTCCAGCCATCAAAAGGCTTAATCATATCAGTAATATTAGGTTTATGAGTGAAGTTCTGTCAGGTTGGATGAACCTGTACATGCTGTGCTTACCTTTCTAGCGCCAGGTTGGATAGAAACAGCTATTTCTTCTTCTTGCCCTTCCTCTGATGTCTGGATAGTGTCATTTTGTACACTACGGTCATATGTAAGTCTAAAATAAAAAAAAGAACATTGACAATTGTAGTTTTGCATTAGCTAGTTATACATAGCATGAGTATGGTTATAATAATGCAATAGTTAGAATACTTTCGTTGCATGTTTCTATCACTTGCCTTTGTTTTTGTGACGGTGTTAAAGGTGGAAATTTGACGTCTTTGTGTGGAGACATCTGTAGCGCTTATATGTAACGTTGGACTGAATAATAGCAAGTGTGCTCCGTTTAGCTCAAGGTTGGCTTTAGCATCACAGACCACAGCATTGTAACAGGGTTTCCGTGGTAACGGGGACGGAGTACGCAGCAGGACCCGCATTAGTAGACCGCGGCGCGCCTAACTAGTTTTCAACTTGTGTAAGATGAAAACTTTCCTCTTAAAAAGAAAAAATATAGATACTTTGTAAAGCACGAGAAGCTGTAGCTCTTTAAACGTGCGTGTTTAAGCCGCAAACCCTAACTAATGTCAATAACAAATACATGATAAATGAATAAATAAACGGGTAACCTACTTTATAAATAACACATAACTGCAACTTCCAATAACTACAATGTAATATAAAGAAGAAGGCATGGAAGATAAAAAAAAAAAAACACCACGCTAAGATAGCAGCTGTGCCTTCAGGGGTAGGCTTATTTTTAACATATTAAACTTTGTTTTTGTTGTGGAATTAATTATTAATTTTCATCTAGATGGCGAATACATGTACGTTCCATGTTTCCTCGTGTGCCACGTATGGATACATTGTGAAATTACATAATATCGTAAAAACTGTCTACAAAAGTACCTGCTGAAAAAACTACATTTCCTAGCGACCGTCCTCAGTGGAAGCCCTTCACCAGGGTAACCGTACTTGAGCTGTGTAGTCGTTTCGAGAGACGTTATAGTAACGGCGAGCGTGTGGCTGAACTACAGTACCCAAACGGCACCGCTCGAGCCTACAGTACATTCTGCTGCTTATCCGGGGATGTCACACCACTGCTATTTTCTCCCCTCAGTCCCTCTCACTCTCAGCCTACAGCTCCAGCGGACTGACACGGGGCTTTGGATAGACACAAACGAACAATAAGATACCAAACAGAGGCCAGAAATGGCAGAGCTTGGAGCGGGGAGCCTGCCGTTGGGGGATCCTGCTTTTAATTACCAGGAGCACGAGCTGAACGAGCGGCTGAAGCGGCTCTACCCGGCTGTGAACGAGGAAGAGACCCCTTTACCCCGATCCTGGAGCCCCAAGGATAAATACAGCTACATTGGGCTGTCACAGAACAACCTGCGGGTCCACTACAAAGGTTAGAGAGCTGGCTCATCCCTGATGGTCTGAACAAGTAGTCACCACAGCAGAGGGTCTCAGCTCAAATCTGTCACTGTGTTACTGCGGGAGGGGGGGGGTCAGTCTCTCACTCACTCACACACACACACACACACACTGTATGCGATTATGTTGATGTGTATGTGTGTGTGTGTGCACTCCTGGTAAATCTAGTCTGAGCTGCCTCTCCTGTCCCGTAACCTTGCTTTGTTTCACAAATGAGCAGAGGAATTCCCAAATGGGTGACAGTGAACTCGCTAACCCTGACAGTTGGTCTTATTACCACCACACTGAAATTCACATTCAACAACACGGCTCTCTCCTTTGTTTATTTACCGTTTATGACGTTATTTGTTTGCAGTAAACTGACGTCCATCTGACGTTCTCCATAGTTTGTACTGGAAGGTGGCCCTGGCAGCAGCAACGACGCATACACTGGGGTCTGCTTTTGAGCTAACTAATGGTATTTAACAAACAGGAGCTAGCTAACAGCAAGCTACCTCCTGAGCAAATACAGTAGTTAGCCTTGTGGCTAGCTAGCTAATGTAAGCTAACCTAGCTGTTCCTTGTGACTAATATTGTTGTGAAAACGGTCAGAGACGCTGGCCACAAGATGGACACGGGCCAAAGTTGTTGTTAGCCTTTTTACAACGTAGCACTGTGGGTAATGTTGCAATTGTTCAGTTTTTGACTCCAGCAAGCACCAAAACAGAATAAAAATGTCATTGTTGTGTTTTCTCGCGTGATTCCACCGGCAGTGTTCTAGAAGTCTTTTCCAGAATTCGTAAATCATTTTTTCCAGTCTGGAAGCAACGGGTTCCACTCCATTCAGATCTGTATGTGCCCTGAGCACAGCACAACAGTCTCATGTCCAACCTCCAGCAGGCAGCCAGCTCGTTTTCAACAGCTGCTGTGAGGGAGGAGGCCTCTGCGCATTACATTAGGCCAAATGTACCGATCTTGGATTAAATCTGTATTATCGGCAGACTCTGGCATTTTCACAATAACAGCAACTTTTCTCGTCTGACGGTGCAGTCAATCACTTATTCGGATGGGTGAAAACTGTCAGTGCGGGCTGCCAGGCCTGTCAGCGGGATTGTTTTATACGTCCAGCTCTTAAATCAAAACAAGGTGACATCTGCGTGAAGTCCTGTTCTCAGTGTTTGGCCTGCTCTGTTATTTTTCGTCAGGCGACACGTCAGGGCAGCCCCCCAGTAGCAGCAGGCAAGCTAGTGCTGCATCTCAGGCTATGAAAAATCTGCACAGAGGCACTGCAAGGCCACTCTGGGCCCTGTTGGCTGTTTACATCAGTGAAACATGCAGAGGATGAGAGGATGCAGGCAGGCTGTGTAACCCATTTTGAAAGGCTTATTTTGCACATACGTAGTGGTGGGCCTGCTGTTTGTGAGTAGCAGGGAAGGCCTGTTATTTGTTCAAATCAAGACTCTGGTAGATATAACCCACAGATTATTTAATGCATAATTGATCAGGTCCCTGCTGTTAATATGAATAGTGGCAACATGTAAAATGAGAGCCTACATTCTGTTTATCAGTAGAATCACAGAATGAATTGTTTTCTGTAGATGCTGTTGTGCTGATTGATTGATTGATTGATTGATTGATTGATCTGTTTATGATGTGATAAAACCATCCATTTTAGTCAGTGTTATTGGGATCCTTGCATTCTCTCTAGAGTTGCCTAAGCACTTGTCAAGAAATGATGAATGAGCCCACGCAGGTCTTAAGATAAGACATGGCGTTTCGTGTTGTGGTTAGTATGTGGGACATTGAGTCTTTATGTCTATGAAAAGTGCACAGATTAAGTGACACTGCACAATTGTTCAGGGATGACACATAAATAGGTCTATTCTGGAGTGTGCAGGATGATTTTCCTCCTCGTGGTTGTTTTAGCTCTTGCTCTGTTCCCTCACCCTTGTGGTTTGAATGCTATTTTGACCAGTGTGCCAATTTTCTCCTTTCAAGGCCACTCAGTGTCTACCTAGTCCTGTTGCACCAGGAGACTGGGTAGATTAAACTGACACACATTATTCTTCACAGTCTCAACAGATAGAAAACACTAATAAACACTGGAACACATATAAACAAAAATATAGATTTTCTGCCTATGAATAAAGCAGCTCAGTGATAACCATTAATCATTTCATCTATTTTAGGCTAAAAACCAATTCAGCTATATGATTCACTTAGAGTAGGTGGATAGTGGCAACCTTTAGCATATGGTACAGGGTTGCCTGAAATAACAATCACTGACAAAACAGAAATGGATTAAAGAGCAGGGGGAGTTAATAGATCATTAAAATAGTTATATTTATAATTAGAATAAGTTCAAGTTCATTTTGGATTCAAGCATTGCTTAAAGGTCCAGTGTAACATTTAGGAGGTTCTATTGGCAGAAATTAAATATATATTTATAGATATGTTTTCATCAGTCTATAATCACCTGAAAATAACAATTGTGTTTTCGTTACCTTAGAATGAGCCGTTATGTACAGAGGGAGCGGGTCCGCTTTTATGGAGGCCGCTATGTTGAACCTCCATGTTTCTACAGTAGCCCAGCAGGGACAAACTAAACACTGGCTTTGTAAAGGGGCTTTTGCCTTTGTTGCACATTTCGCGGCCACCATAGTTTCTCCTACAAACTTGGAAGGCTGTGCTGTATTCAAATGGTTGCAGTCTGCAACTTCACCACTAGATGCCACTAAATCCTACACACCTTTAAACATGTCATTTGATCTTATTCAGTATACCTTAAGAAGACAGAGAAGACAACATTTAATATCCAGGAATTGTCCTTATAGACGCTACCACTGACCTTACATTGTCCCGCCATATGTGGTTTTGACCTGTTTCACCTCTGAACAGTACTGTTAAGTACTTAAAGCTGCAGTAATCAGTATTTTTATATTGGCAATCAAATAATTATGGGTAATGTGAAAGAGGTTGCATGTAGTGACAAACACAGTCTGCATAGGCGAACGTGTTGACGTCTGTTGATGCATGCTCCTACATTTTGGGATGTACACAGACAGTATGCATGGACTGTGAAATACACTGGCAGATGATGAAAACTTCACACTGACCCATGTAGCTATGTAGATATACTGTGCAGTTTAGCTGCCTTTAACCAATTTTGTTTAGATTTTTCAGCCTGTACACTCTGGTTTCATCAGCAATCAAAGCTCTGCTAGAGCCACTGCTCCTACCTGCTCAGCACTAAACAGCTGATAAAGTTAGCGAATCACACCAAAGTGACTCCTTTGGCGTGATTCACTAACACTTAAACAGAGCTAAAGAGAGACACAACCTAAAATGAATGGTGAAGTTGCTCTTAAAGTTGCCAGCTGGATGTTTAAATAAGACATTTTCTGCAGGAGATAAATAATATGCAAATCTTGAGTTTACAACTTGTTGTACTGCCCCCAAGTGGCCAAAAAAACAATGAATGTAGCTTTATGCTTTTCCACTTGTGGGAGCATTTCAGGCCACTGGGTATAATTCACCTTCTGAAATGAACCATGAGGTGCTGACCTTCATCCCAACCACTTCAGTCAGCTGTATACCTCTGACGCAGGTCACAGCCTGACAAAGCATCTGAAAAAATCTGACATGCAATCCTGAGGTCATCAAAGAGGCCTGGATATTCTCCAATCCTTGGCTGTGCCTTTAAATGTTGTCCTTGAAAATGGAAAAAATGACAAAGCACAATGGAGTCCATCATCTATTGAGAAAGTGCTTGACATAGTTCCAAGGATGACAACAAAGCTTTTGGTCCAGTTATGCAAGGATCTAATTGCTTATAGTAACAGCCCCAGTGGCCCATAATCCCAGAGCTGCCCCTTCAGGACCTCAGACTATTCCAAGTCTGTTCATCCAACACACTGCTACTTGAACACCCAGAGTCAAACAGAAAGGTGCTGCAGGTAGATTCAAGTACCGCTAAAAGTCAGAAATCTTAGCTGTGTGTTATAGCCTATCAGCAGTTTTTCCAGGTTTCTTGTGGCTGCATTGCATTTTCGTCCAGTGAGGCTACTGTAGCAATCATTTGTACATGGCTGTTCTATGATGGCACACTGCAAAGCATTTTGGGTAAAAGAGTTCATTTTCAGTTTTTAGTTCACTAAGAATTTTAAGGGTGCCAGTTGTCCTGCCATAACAGCAACAACAGTAAGATGAGTAAAGGAAATGTCAATCAAGCACAGTTTGTTGTGAGGAGGTCAACAACACCCATGTTATTGTGTGTAGGGCCTTTTATTTAGGGTATTTCTGGCTTATTACAAACTTTCATAGTTTTGGCCATCATGCCTTTCCATAATAATGAACATTTATTTCCTCACAAAAGGAGCAAAAGAAATAACTGACCAACTATACCAGCCACCAGTTGCTTTAATTTTGGAAAAATGTTTTAAAGTACAATTGGCTTGTTTGAGCTTTTGTATTCAGACTGCAGGGCTCAAAATAAAAAAAAGTTCTCAGTGTCCTGTAACTGTCCCAACCGTTGCAAACAACCACTGTCCACTGACCAGTATCGGCCAGAACTGTAATCCATGTTTGTTGATTATTTAGCCTGCACTGGATAGCCTAACATCCACGTTGTCATTTTGTTTTCAGAGCTTTTATTAGGAAAATAAAGCCTTAAATTATTCTTCAGCCTCAAAACAAATGCCAGAAAGTATGTTTGTCTTCAGCCAATCTACAACTTTCCAATCAATTTTTTCATCAATCTAGGAGGACATCCAAAACAGGGGTTGTCATCTTTTGTATGCTCTGCCCAGAGTTTGCTTCTGAGATGCAAGAATTAAGGTATGTGTTCAGAAGGGAAAAAATAAACGAAACAGATTCATTTTAGTGACAATGATTCTTTTCGTCAAGCCATATTGATGTTTTGTGCACATTATAAAAGTTCTCCCATGGTCTCTGTCTTCTTCACTGGCGACATAGCGTTTTTTGCACTGCTGTTGTTGACAGGCAGAGGAGACCATGGCGCTGTTGTTCTTGCTGTTACTGAACTGATACATTTTGTGTTTTCCGCTGCTTGTGGTCAAGAATGGCTTCTGGGGTTGGATTGCTGGTTTCCTAGTAAGCAATTTAGACCCCATTGTGCTGTGGGATAAGAGCAGGACATTAACCTTTGATCCGTGACCTCTGGTGCCAAGGTCTGATGTCACTTAACAGCTGAAAGGTGTGACACAGCAGAGCCGGGGCTGTTTCTCAGAGGACAGTTGTAGTGTGGTAGTGTTTCCACCGCCTCGTGTCATAAAGATCTTGATTGCGTGCATTTGTTTTGGAAGTGAGTGACAGAAAGACGCAACTTTTTAAAAATACTATTTTTCTTTTTCAGACAGTTGTTTGCAAGATCCATAGCGATAGGGTAAAGTACCTGTTTGTGGCTATGTAATAACTGTAGTATGACGTAGTAAACTAAACTGTTTTAGTACCGTTCATTCATCTAGGTTATATTTAAGCCTACAACTAACAGATTTTGTTGCTCAATAATAGTAATATTGTTTAGAAACCTTGCGTTGTATTGTTATGTCGGTGTAATAGTAACCCAATAGCAAGCTCACTGGGCAAGGCTAAAAAAATTTTAAAAATCTTGATGAATTTTTTGGGGCCCTGTATCGTGATATGTATCGTATCGCCAGATTCTTGCCGATAAATATAATAATAATACATGTTTAAATATATAAA